TTGAAAGAATTATAAATATTTTAATTTCAATTTTAAGGCTTTGAGTGCACAAAGGACTTGGTAAATTCTACTGATACAACTTGGTAGAGGTTGAGATTTAATCATAGGAACACATACATTTTCTGTAATTATTACCATTTGATTTTGATGATATTATAAATTCTAATAAAAAAGTCATGTAGTATTTGGACCCAAAAGACAAGATTCCTTCTTAGGGATGGCAGTTAAATCAGGAATCTTCAGTGACAAGAACTTACTTTTAAAATGTATTTTAATAATATTTGTAATACTAAGAAAACAAATGGGATGATTTTTCTTCACCCATAATGCCACAAAATTACTTTTGCCTGTATTTGAAATAGCTAAATAAAATGATTCATAATTCAGTCTAGTCTTACGAATCCTTGAGTCCAGATGTGTTATGGAAAAAATAATCCAGTATATATATGGCTTGTTGTCTGTTGTAATAGCCACAGTTTTTGTGTAGCAGAGTATTTGAATAGATAGGATAAACAGAGCCTGTAAGGGATCTAATGTTAATTCATTGCAGGTTTTGCTGCCAGATGAGTGTTGGACCAAGCTTGTAGAAGCAAAAGCAAAAAAGTTTGTGAATCGGGGTGTAGACTTACACTTACTAATATACTACTTTAATTTAGTATTCAGTATAAATCACATGACAGTTACATCAGATATAATTGTTTTGACTATAATATTCTGTTGCATTAGTATACAAAAATTTATTAAGTTGCCCCCCCAATATTCCAGATTTAATATCATAAATAGCACTGAATAAATATCATTTTATATGTATCATTTTGTTTATGCTGAGTAAGTCTCTTAGAATGGACCCACAGTCATTAAAAGTTTTATGGAGCCTGCTACTCTTAAATTGTAAAAGATCTGTGGATTTGCAGGGTCACTAGCATTGGGGTACACATTTGTCTACATCCTCACAAACAGTGCATCGAATGGAAGCATTTCCTTTAAAAAGGGTGCAAGTGTACTGCTTCAGATAATATAATGAGTTCATAAGATTAATTTTCATTTATCTGATCATTAGTTAAGACAAACAATGCTAATTGAAATACATTGTTGTGTAGTTGAAATTTTATTGGACATGGGTCTCATTTTCTCTTTTAAACAGAGTTCCTTTGCTCTGGGGTCTCTAAAATGCTAAACATTAGTCACCATAATGTGGAACTTCTCTGAGTTTGCACCTTAGTTAATTATAGAACCATCTACAAATCAGTCTTATAAATGCACCTTAGTTAATTATAGAACCATCTACAAATCAGTCTCTAAAATGCTAAACATTAGTCACCATAATGTGGAACTTCTCTGAGTTTGCACCTTAGTTAATTATAGAACCATCTACAAATCAGTCTTATATGATCTTGGCTTAATTTGTCTTCATCCAGACACACTGTTGAAGATAGGAGGGACCAGGAGAGTCCTTGTGGCAGCAGTTGGTAGGCGTCTTAAAAATGTTTAACCACTGCTGTAGGCATTCTTCTGTGATCACTATAGATGTAAACCAGAAAGCATGTGGAGCTGTATGCTTAAAGCTGTCTCTCACAATGTTATTTTGAAAATATTAAAAACTATTTATTAAAGAAATGATTCTCATATCAGATTGATAGTTTTATTTAGTTTTTAGCATATAAATACTTAAATTATTATAACCACTAAAATTTATGTATAACAGGTATCATGGTATATACCTATAAAGCCAGCCTCAGCAGCTTTGCAAGCTGAGGTCTCAAAAGTTAAAAAGGGCTGGAGGGCTGGGGTTGTGGCTCAGTAGTAGAGCACTTGCCTCGCACATGTGAGGCATTGGGTTCGATCCTCAGCACCACATAAAAATAATCAAACAAAATAAAGATATTGTATCCATGTGTAACTAAAAAAAAATATTTAAAAAGAAAAAGTGGGGGGGGCTGGGGATGTAGAATTCACCTCAGTTTAATCCTCAGTACTACCAAAGAATTATGATAATAACTGCTTATGTGGAAAATCAGAATGCAAGCTTGTCTCTGTTATTTCAACTGTGATCTTAAATATATAAAAAAAGATCAAAAGGAAATATCCTTGTATGTTTAACTGGTTATCAATGAGCGATGAAATTAACACTGCTTACTTCCTTCCTAAGTACTCAAAGCACATCACCTCCTTTGGGTTGTGCAAATAAGCCTCTAAGTAAATGTATAGATGTAAACCAGAAAGCACGTGGAGCTGTATCTTTAAATGAAAATACTACTTTTTCATTAAAATGAGTGACATAATACAAAATGTTCACATGGGTTTGACCAAATAATCTGTTAATGCAAAGTGAATCAGTGGAAATTTTTATTTTCCTTTCTCTGAAAAATCTTTAGATGCTATAAGTATTGTACCAATCTCCCAGGTCCAGAAAAAAATAATTACTAATTACCATTACTTATAATCCTGAGGATATCACCGGCACTCCCTACCCTGCTACACATGGCTCCTCTTCCATGATATCCTTTAAAGCAGTGGTTTTTGAAGTAGGGTCCACAGTCTACTAGGGATCACCAGAACCCTTTCCAGGAGTCTTTGAGTTAGACATTCTTCAGAGTGACACTAGATGTATTTTCATTTTTCACTATGTTGACACTTAACCCTGGTGGTACAAAACAGCAGCAGGTAAAGTGCCCTAGTAGGCCAAACTGCCAGCTCTGTGGCACCCAGACCAGGGTATTAGTCTCTAGCTGAACTGGTTGTGTTCTTCGCTGTCATGGTATTGTGCACGCCTATAGTCCCAGTGGCTCAGGAGGCGGAGGCAGGAGGATCACGGATTCAAAGCCAGCCTCAGCAACAGCGAGGTGCTAAGCAACTCAAGGAGACCCTGTCTCTAAATAAAATACAAAATAAGGCTGGGGATGTGGTTCAGTGGTTGAGTGCCCCTCAGTTCAATCCCAGTAACCAAAAATAAAAATTAAAAAAGAAACAGAAACAAACAAAAAAATCCAGTTTCACTTAAGACTGCCCTTGAAGGAAGTGTAAAATTGTTGGTTGTGTTAAAGCTTCACCCCTTACTACCCGTCTCTCTAACATTCTCTGTTGAAATGGGAAGCACACTAAAACCATTCCCGAAGCAGGATGATAGTCTCCGGGCAAAAGCACAAGAGCAACTGGGTGGGTTGGGAGCTGCGCCAGCTGTGTTTTCCATGGAGTGCCATTTTCACCTGGAAGAACAACTGGCATTCATGTTTTAGAGAATAAATGAGGTTATTAGCTATTCATTTCATGGAAAATAACTGTGATTTTCTGTTATCAGTGAGAAAACTTAAACTTTTGAGTGAAAATGAGAATTTAGGAAAACTTGTCCTGTCTGCCACTGTGAACTTGGCAGCTTCCAAAGACTTGTGATAAGATTGAGGTGATATTAACAAATATAATTATTTAAAATATTTTATAATGAAACATTTGGAAGATCTGCATAACTTAGTGACACCGTGCTCCAGATGGCCAGTGTCTGATGTTACAGAATTGTAGATGAGAAAAAGATCCATTCAAAGTAGAGGATAGACCAGTGAACTTTATAACGTAGGGAATTCAAAATGTTCATTGGTTGAGTTTCCAGTTTCCCAGGGAAATGACCTTTATGAAACTCACACTCACCAAGTTTTGCTGTGGTAATAAAGAAGAATATTTATAATTATCTGTAAAGGTTATTCGAATACTCATCCTTTTCTAATATCACTGTTGTGTGTGGCCAGCATTTCTGCATTTATTTCAAACAGAATAACCTGTCATAACAGTTCAAATGCAGAAACAGATGAGAGCCTCCCTGTCAAATATTTTAACGTACGTGTAATGGACTTACTGGTGTTTTAAAATGAAATAACAAAAGTGCTTGGTAAGATTTCTGTTTATTCTGTGATATGGTGAGTAGCAATAGCTGTAACCTATATAAACAAAAGCTTTGGGGATCCTCAGGAATCTTAAAACACATAAAGGACTCTTGAAACCAAAAACTTTGAGAACTGCTGCTTTAAAGTCTTGTGACTCATTGTGTTCCTGAGTGTCCCTTGAACTGTAGACACTGGAACCTAACCCCAGACCTGCTGATTGAGACCCTGCAGGCAGAGGATCTGAAGCAGCTTCGGGCAGGACCCGGCAGCAGCACACAGCAGGGCAAGTTGAAACAGAGGGCGAGGGCCTGGAGACTCAGACCCAGAGCAACCTTCTTTCCCAGAGCGAATGCCCTTCTTCTTGAGTCCTAGTTAGCTGTTTGAAATTCCTTGGAGATCTAATAAAAATCTAGACTCGGAAAGGGTAAGCCACTCAGGAAAAGAAGACCCATCAGAGTTGTGAAGCCCCCAAAATTCCCAGAATCTTGGGGAGCTCTGGGTGTCTGTCCAGGCACACACCTATTCCAGGAAGATGTTATTTGAGTTCTTGCCTCTCCTCAGGTTTGTTCTCATCCCTGAAGATAAGCACCACTGCTGTAAACTTGAGAAAAATGTAGACAAAAAAGAATCTTGTTTTAGTTTTAGTGATAGATTTGTGTTTATCTCAAGAGTAACTTTTAGGGCTGAGGTTGTGGCTCAGGGATAGAGCACGTCCCTAGGAAAGGTGAGGCCCTGGGTTCAATCCTCAGCACCATGTAAAAACAAATAAACAACAAACAAATAAAGGTTAAATTCTTTTAAAAAAAAAAAAAAAAGAGAGAGAGAGAGGGGAATTTTTACATCTTCCCTTTGGGAGACATAGTTCTATCAGAAAATCTTACCTGTAATCCCATCCCAAGTAGGTGATCATTAGAGCAGTTATAAAATTAAACGGCCTTTGCAGATTTAGCACTTTGACAGAGCAGACTTACACATTTTTAGAAGGGTTTGCAGTTCATTCTGAATTAGTGACTAAACAAAGTATGTTTGGATTAAGTGTACAACCAAACAGTGGAATATAAACTGTTGTAACAAGATCTTCCATTTCTGAACCTTCATAACTATTTATTTTCTTCTTGTTTTTAGGGTGAATCTGTAAAATATTTCCTGGATAACTTGGATAAACTTGGAGAACCAGTAAGTTTTAAAACTGGATGTTTATGTTTGTTGATATCTAAAGCAATAGTCAGGATTCTTATGTTTTTACTTTGGTGTAGCTTATTAGGAAATTTAGAAAAAATACACATTGAGCTGTTTGCCTCTTCCTTTTTTCTTAGTGGCAGTAGTCTGACTCATCCTGTCTTATTTAGAGTGATTGGTAGCTAAAAATATTGAATGACTTATATTTTTTCAAAATGAAAAAATTATTTTCCAGTTGCGACACTTTTTTCTCCCTTTACTATCTAGCCCTCTGCCAGTTTCCTTGAGTAATTGCCCTGCCCTCTGTTTCATGGAAGTAAAACTGTTAAAAGAGATTTATGGTTCACAATGAGATTGCACATTATCTACTATCTTTCAGTGTGATTGGGGGTTTTGTGAGCAGAGAAGGAGGAACACAGTGGGCTGATTTGTTTCCAGACCATTAGTAAAGTCTGTTTTCAGTTCAGGACTGACTCCTTTGTGTTGAGTTGCAGCGTGCAGGCTTGATCCTGGAGGCCTGCTCAAGAGACTGCACGAGGTAGGAGAGGGGTCCCCCTTGGAAAGAGCCTGTACCTTCCTGCATGTCTTTCCTCAGAGCCAGCCACCCAGCTGCACCAGAGCTGCCTCTGGCTTCCTGGGGGCCATGGCAGGCAGAGCGCCACTTGGCCGTCTTCAGTGTTGGACTAGTGAAGAGGGGTTCATTAGAATCAAGGTTTCTGCTGCTTAGAAAATGTTTGAATGCCATCGCCCTAGAGACTTTGTTACTCATTAAGTTTAGTGTAGCTTCATTTGCCTGCCTCCTTTTAAAGCAGTTTTTTAATAAATGTTAATATGGTCTTGTGATTTTTAACTTTGAAAATATCACTGAAGAAAAGCACAGAATAAGCCTGTGCCTAGGAAGAAAGTCGTGTGCTGCTGGGAGATGTAGGCATGTGAAGCAGTACCTTCTTTTCCCCAGCAGGAAAACATTTTCCCTTTATTTATTTATTTTTTTAATTGCATTTGTCTGCTTTTAAGATAGTATGTTTTAGCCCAGCCAGTTTCTTAGACACGGGAGCCCCCTGAAGTTGACATCTCCAAAAATGTATGTTTTTACTCATTCAGTATAGTACACATCAGTAAAACTTTGTATTAAGGTTTGTTTTTTTCTTTCCATCTGGTCAGATTATAAACTTTTTTTTCTTTTAATTAAGTACAGGTCAACCAGAGGGAAGGCTTGGTAGATAACCTAGTTATTAAGAGTTATTTCTTGTTGTCAAAACAGAGCTGACTTGACCTGCTCTTGTCAATGTACTTTTCCAATAGACCTTCCTTCCCTGAACACACCATTCAAGTAGGTCCCCTCCTCCTGACTCTCAGTGTCAGCCCTCGATTTTTTCCTCTTTTGCATGTATTATAGCAGACAGTTACTTTATATTTACCCTTTACCTATCTCTTTCCATAAGGGCCAGGATCTCATCTCCTGATCACTAAGAGTTGAGACCCTGGTACCTAGAGAAAGTGCCTGGAGAAAGTGCCTGGCTTCAAGTCGCACTCAGCAAACAGCCTTTTATGCTTTTCTCTGCAGTGCCGCGGGGATGCAGGCCTTGATACGTTAAGTAAGCGCTCTCCACCGAGCCACACGCTTAGACCAGAAAACAGTTTTTGAATGAATTCTCCAGGCCAACTCTAACCAATTTGTAGTGGCTACTTAGAATCTTAAGTTGACAATAACTCTGAAGCCACATCTGGAATAAAAAGAAGAGTTGAGATCAACATGTAGTTGTAAAGAAGGGGAGAATAAACCTGGGTGTATTTTTGTCATCTATTTTTTACATATCAGACAAGTCACAGGATTGCACTGGCTACATCTCTTAGGTCCCAGGGCCATTGAAACCCTGCACTTAGCCCTGTGACATTGTTGGAAATGGAACACAGGGGGCAAGGACTTAAGTCCCAGCTCTGTTGCAGACTGGCTCTGTGTGACATCAGCATCTCTAAATTGCAGTTTCTTAGTCCATAATATGAACATAGTTAGGGAACTCAGCTTGTAGGGATACAGAATATTACATAAAATAAACCCAGTGGGTATAGAAATGTAGCAAATGCCCAGTGTTGGCTTTTTTTTAAATCTCTACATTTAAAGAGCTCAGTCTAATCATAGATGGAACCAACATACTTAAACAAGTAAAGACCATTAAATGATACAGAGCACAAAGATATTAGCTATAACTGAAAAGTTTCTTTCTGGAAAAGTTGGAGCTAGTGCAAAAAGAGTTAGTGAACCTAACTGCCTGAGTGGCAGGATGGATTTGGAGGCAGGGGACAACTGGGTGTGTTTAGTGTTAGACCCTGCTGTCTCGTGAAGGATGCGTTCAGTTCTAACATGGGAAAGCACTTCTAGAAGGCAGTGGCTTCAGTGTTTTCCACTGTGCTGCGCTTTGCATTGTTGTTGAAATCGATGGAGGTGTGATGGTACTGAGGTGAGGCCTTGTGCAGGTCTTGGTGTTAGGCACCTGTGTGGAGCATGAACATGCAGAACAGAGTCTGCTGACTGCAGAAAAAGAGGTGTATGGGGAGCTTCAAAAGCCAGTCAGAGCAGATTCTGGATCTGACGCAGCGGGGAGCCATTGTAAGGTCTGTGGTTATGATGCGGGAGGTTGGCTTGGGAGAGGCCAGGAGAGCCGCGAGGTGAGCAGTCAAGGCAGAGAAGCTAGGGATGAGAGGACGAGCCGTACCTGAGGTGATAAAAAAATGGGGTGTGGAAATAAAGAGGAAAGAGAGCACGTAACAGATGCCAAGAAGGAACTGGGGATTGATACAACTGGAGATGTCAGGGAGGAGTCCAATGACGGAGGATGGAAAGATGCGGGGACTGTTGGTGGGGCAGGAATTGGGAAGCAAAGCACACTCTTGGCTGAGAGGGGCTGGCCAGGGAGGAGATGAGCTTCTTAGTGAGCATGTGAAGGTCACGAGCCTGATGACTGGCAAGCATCAGAAAATGAGAGGCTCCAGCCTTCCTTCACTCCCCGCCTTTTCTGCAGCAACAGTGACCGCAGTGTAGTGGACACACAGTGACAGCTGGCCACTTGCCACACATGGCTCTTTTTTTTTTTAATATTTATTTTTTAGTTGTAGTTGGACACAATATCTTTGCTTTACTTATTTATTTTTATGTGGTGCTGAGAATCGAACCCGGTCTCCCATATGCAAGGCGATCGCTCTACCGCTGAGCCACGACCCCAGCCCCACACATGGCTCTTTTTTTTTTTTTTTTTAAATGTTTAGTTTTTAGTTGTAGTTGGACACAATACCTTTATTTTATTTATTTTTATGTGGTGCTAAGGGTCAAACCCAGGGCCTCACACGTGCTAGGTGAGCGCCCTACCACTGAGCCACAACCCCAGCCCCACACATGGCTCTTAAGCACTTACCCTTTTAATTTGCTTAGTCCTCAAGGCGACCCTCTGCATGTCATCTCCACTTCACAGGTGAAGAAACTGAGACACAGAGAACTTCAGTGACTTGCCCAAGGTCACATAGGTATAGTGGCCAGCTGGCTGTAGGAATCACATTCCTAATCGACGTACTCTATTCTGCCATTTAGCACTTGATTACATTCTGTGCTTCATGCAGATTAGACTTTAGACTCCTGACTAGATTGCTAGTTCATTATAAAGACGATAATAGAGAACTTTGGGATTTTATGGAATTAGAAAGTTTGCAAAATGCTCAAGGCTGACATGTTCCTGAAGTAGGCAGCACACCCAGAAAATGGAAACCAGGACCACCTTCTGGAAGCAATTGGACTTTTGGTATCCAGGATCATTACAGTGTTTGTACGCCTCATAATCTTATCCCTGGTTGTTTTCATCTTAAGAAATAGTCCAAACGATGTGTGAGAACTTTAATTGCAATATATATGTTAATTACAGCAAAAAACATTGGCAACACCCCACTAGTAGAGGAATGTTAATGTAAATTATAACACATTAATGCTTTTATGTGACTTACAGTTTTTTTAAAAATGAGATGACACCAACATGGAATACAGTTCATGGTAAATGTTAAACAGAATATGAAGGTAGGCTAAAAATTATCAGTAAAATTGCTATGTATGTGGACAAAAGCTAGAAGAAAGCATGGAAATGCTAACACTTTTATTGGAGTCCTAGAGTAATGAGTGGCTGGGATTGCCAATAACTAAAAACTGATCTGCTGTTTTAACATTCTTAATTTTATTGGTGTCTTTGTGAGGAGATGAGTACTCATGTTGTAATGAAATTTCAAAATCATTACACTACTTGGAAAGACATAAAATGCAGACAGCATTGTGAATAACAGCATTGTTTACAATCCTGCCTTGAAGATATTTTGGCTTTGAGGATGAGCACAAGACCTCTCCTGTTACCTTAACATCCTGCTAAGAAGCTGCGACAGTGTGAGGAGGCATACTGGACCTCACTGCTTCAGGAAGTATGCCTGCAGAGTGTAGCTGGGGACGGCCACTGACAGCCGCCCTTTGCTCAGAATCTTAAAGCCCAGGAAGAGCTCACTCTATCTTTGCAGCTTTTCCTCCAGGGCACATAGGCCAGGTTTGATTCCCTCCAGTTCACAGGCACAGGTGCTGCCACACAGTAAGTGACTAGTTATAAGTTCTTGGGTCGATAAATGAGAAAATTGGAACACAGCTACTTGGACAATACTCTAGAAACAAACTTAGCAAGTGGTCCAAAGTACATGTGAGTAGAGGATGTGTCATAGAGCAGCAGTAGTCCTTGGGGCTAGTTGTGCGTCCTGGAGCGGTGATGCACAGTAAGTCGGCATTAAAGTGGGTTCGAGAGGCAGACAGAACCCGGGGTGAGCTGTATTGGATTCGGATGCCATTGCTTTTAATAGAGGTGCAAGGAGCAGTGTGGAGATGGTGAGTGTGGGGGCATGGGGAGCACTCTGGGGGGACCGAGAAGTGCATAGCAGTGGGAGGAAACTCAAGTTGAATGTGCAGGGGGGCGGCTGGGGGCAGCCTGCAGGTAAGACTTCAGCTTAAATGTGAGTAGTATTGCAGGGGTGAAAACAATAGTAGATGCTGGTCATTGGTGGTGAATTTTGAGCTAGTTTTTGTCAACTAATATTATAATAATTCTTTGGCATTTTTTAATGAGAATAATGGTACTACAGTACTATTATTTTTTTTTAATTCTGATAATGACTTCTGGATTACTGAGAATACAACTGGTTTTTCTTTTCCAGGATTACATTCCATCACAACAAGATATTCTTCTTGCCAGAAGACCCACCAAAGGCATTCATGAGTACGACTTTGAAATTAAAAATGTTCCTTTCAAAATGGTTGATGTAGGTGGTCAAAGATCAGAAAGGAAACGTTGGTTTGAATGCTTTGACAGTGTGACGTCAATACTTTTTCTTGTTTCCTCAAGTGAATTTGACCAGGTGCTTATGGAAGATCGACTGACCAATCGCCTTACAGAATCTCTGAACATTTTTGAAACTATCGTCAATAACCGGGTTTTCAGCAATGTCTCCATAATTCTTTTCTTAAACAAGACAGACTTGCTTGAGGAGAAGGTGCAAATTGTGAGCATCAAAGACTACTTCCTAGAATTTGAAGGGGATCCACACTGCTTAAGAGACGTCCAAAAATTCCTGGTGGAATGTTTCCGGAACAAACGCCGGGACCAGCAGCAGAAGCCCTTATACCACCACTTCACCACTGCTATCAACACGGAGAATATCCGCCTCGTTTTCCGCGACGTGAAGGACACCATTCTTCACGACAACCTCAAGCAGCTTATGCTACAGTGATGTACAAAGACTTGCTATTTTAATACCTTTTTGTGTTTTTGATTGTTTTCTGTTTGTCTTGTCTTGTTTTTTAAAATAGCAGTTTACAACAAGAATTAGAAAAGTCTTGATTCTGTGTTTAACTTTTTGGAAATCTAAGTCCTGCGGCCTTTGGTTTGTGGCTGGACGCTGCTGAGTAACACATTGCCAATACCCGCTGGAATTCAGGCTTGGATTGGTCTCGCCGCGGCTCCCGCTCACGTCCAGTTGTCATTTTCTAGCCAACCTCAGGCTTCAAATTCTTCCACCTTTCAAAAAGAGTTCTCTGTGGTGCCAAGTGTAGACGGCATCCTTGAGTGCATGTAGGAATGCCTTTAGGAATTTCGGCTCTCGTGCAGAGAAGAAATCTTCAGTCTGCCTTACACAGAGCAGGACACGCGCTGCCCAGCCTACCACTTCCTATTGTGAAAGCACTGTTGGAAAAGGTTTTATCTAGGGAATGGCATCAGTCAATTTACGCGAAGGTTTAACCTTCATGTGTTCGTAATTGCATATATACGCAACAGTTGTTTTGTTTCAAAATTTCTATGGTTTCTGAAGGCAATGTTCTTAGTGTTTTAAAGTTTACATAAGGATTTCTAGTCTGGTCTGATGGGAATGGTACCGGGGAGCAAATGCTATAATAGTATCAAAAGTAATGAGTGACCTACAGTTTGCTTTTTTTCCTATTTCTTGATCATGTGATTTAATGTTTCATATATGAAATAGTTTGGCCACAGCAGCAACTAAAAATTGCAAGTGACTTGGTAACAAATAAACGTAATTGGTCCAGAATGACATGTGGGTCACTCCTCAGTCCTGTCTTGGTTGATTTTGCTCCTTACTCAAGGAAATCAGTGTCACATCATCACTTATTTCTTTTGCTCTTCTGTCCCATCCCCAGCAACAACAAACTGTGGCATTTAAGGGAGTCTTCTGTTTATTTGGAGCTTGCCAAGGGTAGTATTTTCCTGTCAAACTATTCAAGAAGGCATTATTTGAGATTGCTGTTCATTCTTGGTGTGTCTCTAAAAGATACAGTATGTACATGTTTGTGTAATTATTGATTATGAGATGCCAGCTTTATCAAGGTACATTTTCAAATTTTAAGGATGCTTATAAGGAAAAGTAGTAATTTTTTTAGTTCACACCTAAAGGTGATTGCATTTGACCTCCCATTGCTTACCACATTCAACCATGCCTGTGGAGTAGCTTTGATTGCAGATGGTCAGCAGAATGGCTGGTGTGCAGGAGTGCCTGTAGGTTTTATGTAGTGTTCAATTGGATTCAAGATACAGATGTACAAAGCTGGTAACAGTTTGCAAGATCTGACGGCTTTTCTGCTTTTCCTAAAAATTGTGATTAAGACTGTGATATCTGTCACTTTACTGTATAGCTGACTGTGTTCTCAGGTATTTTATTGGTCCTTGAAAGATTGGTCAACATTGTGGATCACCTGTCCTTTCCTAGACGGTGGCTCTTGTCCTGTCCTGCTGTCGGGTAGGAGAGGTAGACCTTGCAGTATGCTATCCAGGGATTTGTTCTTGACATCCTGGCTTTTTCTTGCATTTGAAGTTTCACTGTCATCAAATCCATTTAAATCTCAGTGTTTTCATGCCTTTGTAGTACATGAGCTTCAGACACACAGCCCAACATGGTAATGATGCAGGTGTTCAGAGCATAATTCGTGCATGTTTTAATAGTTCTATTAGTGCTTCTTGCCAAAAAGGGTAGAATATATTGTTTAAATTTACAGGGTTAGCACAACCCCAGTGCTAATGAACATCTGAGTATGTGCACAGTACTATTGGGCCTGTTTGGTAGAGCCTACTGTAAATTTAGCTGATAGTTTTATTGAGTGGCCAAGACAAATATTTAACTACAGTGAAGGCTTCAGTCAGCTTCCTATAGAAGGTTGACAACTTAGTCTTATTGAAGCTATTTTAAGATCTGTGATAAGCATCAATATTGCCTGACAAAGCAGAAAATACCAAGTTTCCCTGTTTTTAGCTGCCACCAAGAAATGTTAAAACACCAACTAGATATGGTGTCATTTGCAGCTTCTGATGTGTGCAATGTCTCACAATCAACATTCTTTTAAAATAGGATTTAGAATCTATTTTGAGGCAATAAATTCTATTTAATTTATCAGCCTTGCTTAGACCTTCAGTAGAACTATGAGATTCAACCTATAGGCTTCAGTCCACACGTTCTCCTGTGCTATATTTTAAATTATTTGAAAGAAATCTCTTGCCTATATCATGAAAGCCACATCCTTTGAATTCAAGTACCACTGTATGAAAAAGAAGTTGGAATTCAATGAGCAGAACTGAGAAGGTGCTCTTACTTTTCACTGTGCTAACTTCCCCTGATCTCTAAAAAGTAACTCAGATTTCAAGTTCTTTGATGTATTAAATTTTCCAAATCTTTGGTTATGGTTTGGAATAAAATGTGCCTATTTCTATATTGCTTTCTGGTCTTCAATCTGAATGCCTTCTCATTTGTCTGAAGAAATCTCACACAAGTGTCTTTGTTGACCTTGAAGAAATTATACAGAACTGCCTTATCAATCAGAGAAAACACAAATTACACCTTAATTTTTATAAGGAAAGGGTTTTGTCAAATGTTTTCTGAAGAGCTAAGTAATTCAAGGCATGCCTCTGCCACTTAAATATTATTTTTAATAGCCTGAATTGTTGCTTCCTGCCAAATATTGCATTAAGGTGAAGTCTTTGTTTCAGTTTTATATCTGAATAAAATATCTGAATTTTATATCTGAAAAGGGCACTCGATAGCTAATGAGCAACTGCAGCCAAAGAAGACAGTGTGGAATGAAAGTTATTGTTTTTGTTTCCTTTTAAGTTCCATTGACGGATACATTACATAGACAGGGTCCTCTGGTTACTCTCTAGAGGCGAGACCATCAATGAAAATCTTGTTTGGTTGGTGGCCAGTGGTTGGTTTAAAGGGGAAGGAAACAGGTCAGAAGCGGTGATGCACACCTCTAGCCTCTAATCCCAGCAATTCAGGAGGCTGAGGCCGAAGGATTGTGAGTTCAAGGTCAGCCTCAGAAACTAAGCAAGGCCCTGAACAACTCAGCAGGACCCTGTCTCAAAATAAAAAGGGCTGGGGGTGTGGTTCAATGATTAAGCGCCCCTGGGTTCAATCTCCAGTACCAAAAAAACAAACGAATAACAACAACCAAAAAGTGGAAGGAAATAAGACCACCTAATACTAGAAGATAGTAGAAGTATTGATTAAGATTCAACAGGAATCTTGTGCCCTATAATTAAATCTTAACTTTCAGTGTATGCCCAAATACTTGTATCTTGTGCTTTTGATAAAATGTATTTATCAGCATTAGTATTCACATCTGGTTATGCCTTATTTCTTTGAAGAGTGAAGTTAGAAACTTTTGCTATTATGTCCTAAAATTCAAATCACTATTTGAGAAACTCTCAAATTGGTGCTTTCATTATTTAATGATACATTTAGACAAAACCCCAAAGGAGCCATTTGAAACAAGATTCTCTCCATTTCAATTTGTAGCAATGTTATTTCTGTATATGTAATGAGAAGGCTAAATATCAGTGTTAACTCTTCATTTCTTGTTTGAATCATGCAGTCATGCCTGTAAAGCCCAAACATTTGTAACAAAACTCCCTAATAAATCTAGAGAAAGTTGCTCTGTTACCTTTTCATTTCTTTTAGTTTTACTAAAGGAACCAAGAACAAAAGTTTTGCACATTGTCTTCCCTTGGAAGTTCAACGTGTCCTGGTCACTTGGCCTCCATACCATTGTTTCAGCTTGTTCAGTTCCACAAATCAGATGATATTTGTGTTGTGCTGCTTGACTGAAAAAGTACTGTTTTGTTTTTGTTTTGTTTGTTTTTTAAATCCTAGAACACAAGTCAGCTTTTCTGTCTGGTAAAGAGAGGGGAAAGGTTATGAGGGGGCATGGCAGTGTCCTCCTGTTCCCGATGAAGCAGACGCTGCAGTATGTGCCCGCTGTGTCATGGTACGAGGTTAGGGCTTAATCCATTTACACTAGAGCTTGAGTCTGTATCTTAAACCTGAACATCTTAAACCAGTTTTTCTCTGGCTTTTTCAAGCACCATCAAGTAGATTTTAGCCTTGGACTGGCACGTGATTGTTAACATCATTTGAAGTACATTGTACCACTAGCATCCTTGTGTCTAGATGTGAATTTATGGTCAGCATTTAAATTAATATGTTCGCCCTTGTGGCATTCAGGTCTAACCATCTGAGTTTTAAATGCTGGAACTTATACTGAATGAACATTGTTTTCTCAAAGCATTAATGATATAGCAGTATTTTCTGGGTTGATCAGAGATTTTCGTGACCTATACAAATCTACTGTGAATGATGGATATTTACAGATGGATTGAAGTCTACTGGGACCCACTGGGCATAACTTTCCTGTTGGTGAATATCAGTGATAGTAATAAACTACTTACTTGATATGTGATTTGGGTTTGTATTTAGAAAGCTTGTTTATGATATTCCTTTAGTGAGTGATGTATTTGTCCTCAGGCAAGCCTCTTGGATGGTACCAGGAATCAAGGGGAGGGGGAAGGGATTAATTCTCATTAAGTATGTATAACAATGCAACAAACTATGCCATTTATCCTTTACCTCTTACTTGAAAGCAGAATCGCAAAATGTTTTAAAAATGGTTTTCTCTGCTACTCTAGTATGCTGTGGAGAGCTCATTTACCACAAGAAGCCTTATCAAAAAGTATATTTTGTAACAACCTCGTAGATACTGTACCTAACAAAACATAATTTGTATTAGCTCGGAATAAAAGTATTTGTGGTTTAGGGTTTTTCATTGAACTTTTTATAACCTTCCAAGAACTAAGCACATTATTTGAGATTGTTGTAAATTTTTTTCTTTTTTCTTTTTTTCTTTTTTTTTTTGTCAGTGCTCTAGTTCAGGATTGGCAAATAAATTATTTGTGAGGAAATCTAAAAGAGGAAAAGATGGTTCGGTTTTTACAAAATCAATTGCTATTCATTAAGGCTTTTTACTTTTGTACATATTTTGCAAAAAAAATGCCTCTTGCTATTAATAATTTGCTTTGTGAAAATTACTGACATTTAATAAACATTTACAAATGATCTGATACTATGATGTCATTTAAACTAACTGTGTGAAGCAGACGACAAGGTGAAAGTTTGAAAGCAAAGGTTTCATCCAGTGACTTAAGGCTCAGCAGTCGACTTCAGCAGATCCCCACCAATACTCTGCCTTAGTCAGAGGCGAAAAACTTGTCTAAAGATGGAGAGGTGGACTCCTGTGGGTGTTTTCAGGAGGAGGAAAAGGAAGCCACTGTGTTCTCTCTACTCTGACCCTTGAGACTCTACTGGGCTGAGTCAGGGCTCCTGGTTTATCCAACTTTGTTAGGCCTAATGTAATAATAGAAGTAATATTTTAAGAACTAACCTACATGTTACCACTTTTTTTTTCTGATAAACTTTTAGAATATGATTTCCAGGAAAATTGCAAGATAGGGTTCCCTTCTACTCCCCACCCCTGGAATAGTTACCCCAGTTAATATCTTAACATGACCTTGGTACATCAGGCATCATTAATGAACCAATACTGATAACCTTACTAACTAAAGCCTCATTAGAATTTCCTGGGGGTTCCCTCAAGTCTTCTCTGATCCACAGCCCATCCTGCTTCCACATTACATTCATTCAGTGGTCGCGTCTCCTTGGACTCCTCATGGCCCCTACAGACTGCTTGTATCTTTTATAACCTTAGCAGTTTTGAGGAGTACTGGCCGGGGGTTTTATGGAATGTTCCTCTGTTGGGGTTTGTCTGATGTCTTTCTCAAGAAAGATGGGTTTTCAGACCTCAGAGAAATGCCATTCTCTTCAACTCAAATCAGGTGACCTTCTATGGTTACCATTCATATCTTTTCTTCACAACTCCAGCTAAATTAGAAGCTGTCACAGTGACGTGGCATGTTTGGACCTTTTCTTAACTGGCACTTATTGAAAGCTGGGCTTGTACTTTTCTTCCCCCTAATGGAAGGCGAAGCTTTCCCCACAATTGGAATTGCCTGCAGGTGTGAATAAACACTTGGTAGCAATGGCTGGCTTCCTGGCTGCTGGCTGGTTCCCTGGCTGTGTGGCCTCAGACTCTGGCAGGTGAGAGCTCTTTTAGGACCTCACTGTTGACAGAAAACTGTAGGTCCGAGGAAAAACTGAGAAAAATTGGATTTTGTATCTTAATGTCTAAAAATGCAGGATTTTGCAAACAGGACCTTAAAGGTTTTCTGCAAGAGATTTAAGATCTTCCAAAATGGAAACTAATTGGCTTAAGCATTGGAATCCCAATAACAGCATAAGATCTTTTATTGGAACAAAGGAATAGTCGTCATAGAAAAGAAAGCTACAGGCTGGACCCTATAATCCTAGTAATCCCAGCAATTTGGGAGGCTGAGACAGGAGGATCGAAAGTTCCAAACCAGCCTCAACAATTTAGCAAGGCGCTAAGCAATTCAGTAAGACCCTGTCTCTAAATAAAAATACAATATAGGGCTGGGGATGTGGCTCAGTGGTCAAATGACCCTGAGTTCAATCCCTGTCCCAAAATACAAAATAAAAAGAACTGAGGATGTGGCTCAGTGGTAAAACATCCCTGAGTTAAATCCCCAATTACAAAATAAATACAATTTAAAAAAAAAAATTAAAGTGCCCAAACTTGAAGCTATTTTCTTACCGGAGTGTTTTGGCACAGTCATGGTTAATGGACACCGTGGGTGGGATGATGCCATGTTGGCATGGTGCTCTCAAAATGACCTGTTTCCCACGACGTGGGTTGTGGAAAGAGAAAAAAGGCCTCTCAGTCTCTTAAGGATTCAAGAAACTCCTGGTTTACAAGTCAAATCAGAGATTTGTTTTGGTGACTTGGGAAATTTGGCAAATCCTCAAATATCTAATGACCCAGGGCGGTGTTTTAAAATACATACTGCAGTTTTTCCTTGGAAATCAGTGGGGCACCTGAAAAACGGTATTGTGGGGTCAGGGAGGAGTACCTGTGGGAAGACTGTCAGCCCTTATTTTGCCAGAGTTCCTTTTCTCCGAAATGCACCAAGGCAACAAAGGGCTCAAACAAGTTCTCAATACAAACTGGGCCATTCAGGGCGGCTGGGTCGGCTTGTGTGTTCCCCACAAGAATACGAGGGAAGTCGTGTCCAGAATCCAGTAACGGAGTGGAGGGCTCGGTGTGTCCTCCCGTGAAGGGGAAAAGAGAAGCAGTTGAGTCTTTTTAGAAGTTGGGGTTTTTTTCGCAATTCACTGCACCGCGGCTCCCAACCGCCTTGAAGTTCTTCCTCTGTCCAGCACTGAGGAAGAACGAGAAAAGCACAGGAGATGAAACCGAAGGTCACACACTACTGACCCAGGGAGACAGAGTCTGGCCATCTTGCTTCTTCTTTCCTGTAATTCTGCACACAAGACCTCAGTTCTTGTTGGCTTTGTGGGGTTTGACTAGCTGGTTTCTCGTAACATCCAAGTGAGTTAATAAAGCCGGGTTATCCTGAGAAAATGAACTCAGCACCCCCAGCCCGGCTCTTCTGCTTTTCTACAGGCAGAAGAATCTGAAAATCAACGTAAAGGGGGACAGCACCCCAAAGAGGCCGGCGGCTGCACTTGATGGAAGTGATGAGCGTTGGTTTAACTCAGGTGCCGGACCGCACAACCCTTAGCACAATTCCCAATGAAAATTATTTTAAATAGTTGAATATTTCACTCAGTACCTCCCAGATTTTCGTGAGCATGAAAACATACCTTTGTAACATCTTAGAAAATTTTAAAACTGAGCCCATGTTCTGTGGATCACTCGTGTTACATGAACGATTCTCAGTTTGGGGGAAACATTCTAGGACCTTACCATCATTTTACCCCTTAGCAATAAAAAGTACAGTGATTTTATTTCGGCATGTTAAAATTAAGTTTTATGTTAGTTTTATTCATTGTGTTCCTAGGTCTGGAGAGAGGTTTTTTGTTTGTGTTTTTGCTTCTCACTTTGGACTTTTTTTTTTCTACTTTATTACAGGAAATTTCAAACATACACAAAAGCAGAATAATATAAACCTGCACATTCCACCCAGCTTCAACAGTAACTCCTGGCCAACCTAGTTCCATCCATATCCGAACCTTTCCTACCTCCACCCCAGATTCTTTTGAAGCAAGCAAACAGTTGTCATATCATATAGGTATGATGATATAGCTGAAAATTTTCTATATATGTCTAAAACGCAGGGAGTCTTTCTCTTAGTTCTACCGGGAATAACACAACCTGAGTCCAGAAAACAACCTTCCTATTAGGGTCAGGCTGGTTGTCCAGGGTCATTCTCCAGCAGTGTAGGGCTACGTCCAAGGAGGTCCTCATGGTCGTTTACAAAAGCCAGCTCGAGACTGTCAACAGAGCCCAGAAGGACACTTGGCTATCAACACTGAGATTCTTCTTCACAGGTGTAGTGGTCAATTTTGAATTGGCAACTTTTTTTCTTTTTTCTTTTTTCTTTTTTTTTTTTTTTGTGGTACAGGGGATTGATCTCAGGGGAACTCAACCACAGAGCCACATCCCCAGGCCTGTTTTATATTTTATTTAGAGACAAAGTCTCACTGAGTTGCTTAGCACCTCGCTGTTGCTGAAGCTGGCTTTGAACTTGCAATCCTCCTGTTTCAGCTGGGATTACAGACGTGCACTGCAATTTGATTGGATTGGGAGATGCTGAAGATTGAGAAGCTTGAGGTTGTGTCTAGGAATGATTGGCATGTGGGATAGCCAATTGAAGGGTAGACCCTCCCTACGCGTTGTGGGCAGCACCGTGCAATAGGACGATGGTTTGAACGGAATAAAAATTGGAAGAACAAGGAAGTAGCAACAGATGCAAGCCCCATTCTTCTTGAATAGGTTCTTGATTGCTGCTGCAAACGCCCAAGGATATTGAACTCTCGATTTCTCACTCTTCCAAAGCAGACTCTGCCAGTGATTCTCCAGGGAGTTTCCAGAAGCCTTTGGTCTGGGACTGGGGTAGCACCCTTGACCCTCTTGTTCTGGGGCTTCAGCCTCTGGGACTGCACAGCTACTGATGCCTGCAGACAGCCGTTGTGAAATATCCAGCTCCTGGTCGTGTAAGCCAACCTAATAAATCCCCTTTTTATAATCATACTTCCTGTTGATTCTGTTCCTCTAAGAACCCTGGCTGATACCACTGGGAAGCTGATGTTCACTTTAGCACAGTCCTCAAGTAGCCAAGGTTTTTCTAGTAATATCCAAACAGGCATTTGAGCTTTCAACATGCACAAAGAAACTCAACGTCGTTGGCCAACAAGGAAATGCAGATTGAAACCACAATGTGACACTACTTCATACCTACTAGAAGGACTGTCATAAAAAAAAAAATGAACTGTAAGTTTTGCAAAGGTGCAGAGAAATTAGAATCCTGACACTTTGCTGGTGAGATTGCGAAGAGACACACGCCTTTGGAAAACACTTTGGCAGATCCTAAAACTGTTAAAATATAGAGTTACTATACAATTTGGTAATTCGAATCCTAGCTATGTACCTCAGAGAAATGGAAACACCCAAACAAAAATTTGCTCATGAGTGTTCATGACAGCATTATTTACAATAACCAAAAAGAAGAGACAATGTAAATGTCCAACAGCTAATGAATGGATAAATAAAATATGGCATGTCTATACAATGGATTGTCTTTCTGTAATAAAACAAGGAATGTAGTATTTATATGTGTGACAACATGAATGAGGCCTGAAAACATTCTGCTAAGCCAAATAAGCTGATGGCAAAATGATCCACCCTTAGAATCATACTACATGGTCGTATTTACATGAAATGTCCAGAATATGCACATCTACAGGCACAGAGAGGAGCTAGACGCCTAGCACTGAGGTACGGGGAATGGGCCTTCTCTCAGGAGAGGATGATGTTGTCCTGGACTTAGAGTGAAGGTTGCGCATCTTTGTGAATAGACAAAAAGTCGTTAAGTTGAACACTTAAAATGGGTGAGTTTTATACTATGTGAATTATATATCAACAAGCCTGTTGCACAGAAGAATTTGAGGGCTGGGGATGT